TGTGGCTGGCACCCTAGCCACTGAGCTATAGATGCCAAAAGTGGTTATACTTTTTTAAGCTCTTCTGTCAATGACTATCAGAGCAATAGTTCTTTTTTTTTTTTTTTTTTTGAGACTCAATCTGTCACCCTGAAATTGAGAGCTATGGCATCATAGTTCACAGCAACTTCAAATTCTTGGGCTCAAGCTATCCTCTTGCTTCAGCTTCCCAAGTAGCTGGGACTACTGGCTACAATGCTGGGTTACTTTTTAAATTTTTAATAGAGTGAAGATTTTACTCTTACTTAGACTGTTCTCGAACTCCTGAGCTCAGGCAATCCATCTGCCTTGGCCTCCCATAGTGCTAGGATTATAGGCATGAACCACCATGCCTAACCAGAGCAGTAATTTTTTCTTTTTTTTGAGACAGAGTCTCACTATGTAGTGCTCACTATGTAGCACTTGGTAGAGTGCTACGGCATCACAGCTCACAGCAACCTCAAACTCCTAGGCTTAAGCGATTCTCTTGCCTCAGCCTCCCAAGGAGCTGAGACTACAGGCACCCGCCACAATTCCCGGCTATTTTTTGGTTGCAGTTGTCATTGTTGTTTAGCTGGCCCAAGCCAGGTTCAAACCCACAAGCCTCAGTGCATGTGGCTGGTGCCATAACCACTGTGCTACAGGCATCGAGCCCAGAGCAGTAATTCTTAAAGTACCATCCCTGGACCAGCAACACCGTCACCTGGAAAATTGTTAAAAATGCAAATTCTCAAGCCTCATTCCAGACTCGTAAACTGTGACAATGGAATCCAGCAGTCCAGGTTTAACCAATGCTGAAGTTAGAGAACCACCTCCCCGGAGACCACTCTTCCTTCTGCCTTATAGAGTGCTGTGAGGGCTGCTTTGTTTCCAGTTTGCTCTTACTTCTAGAGTGTAGCCCTAAGAGGCCCCAGCTGAAAACTAGGTCTGTTTACAGGGGCCCTTCTCCTTAACAGGCCCGAAACTCCAATTTTTCCCCCCAGCCCTGATGCTATTGCAAGAGTAAGTTCTAAGCTGCCACTTGTGCATCAGGAACGTCCTCAAGGTGGAAGTGGTGCCCGGTGGCAGACTCTCCTTTCTGCCTGCTCTTTCCTCTGAGTTCTGACTTCTCACCCCTCAAGTTCTCACTGCCTTAGTGAGTCTTTGATGCCTTCGCATTCCCCCCAGCTCTGATTGGCAGCTCTTTCCTAGCTCTGATTGGCAGTTCTGTGTGACAGGAGTCAATCTGCCCCAGATGGAAGAGGAAGCCCCCTGCCCTTTTGCTGCCTTTGCGCTAAGATTATAGCGTCAGAATGAGCATTTAGACAGTTTTGTTCCTGGCACTTGATAAAATGCTCAATAAGTTTAAGTTATTCTTCTTCTCCCAATAAAATCCTAGGGTCATATTGAACTGAGTTGTTAAAATCAACTTCTTCTAACCCTCTCATACATTTTATAGATAAGCAAACCAATGTCACACTGTACAACTGGTCTCCAGTGCAAATGAACTCAGCAGGAGCTGAAATTGGACTTTAGGGAGTTCCTGGATAGTCTCCTCTCCCTCATCTGGCAGGTGGCAGTGTGCTGTCCACCTCCCAAATCGGGGTAGAAAACCTCAGGGCCTAGCTAAGTTTCGGCTTAGAAGGAAACAACCTAAGAACTATGGGCTCAGTACTACTTTTCTCCCTCTCCTCATATGGAGCTCAGACCCACTGCCCTAATCGTACAACCCAGAGCAATCCTAGCGTCAGAATTCTAGACCCTCTCCTACCTTTCCTCTGGTGCAGACTGCACACACTCACACACATAGGCAGCCTCACCTGTGGGTAGTCAGGCAACTGCACAGATCTGGAAGGCATACCAGTTCTGGCAGCAGAGGTGGAGATGACAATTGCTCTTCTTTGAATGCTGATTCCTTACCCCAGGGAATGGAGAGAGGTAGATCCAAGGGACAATCTGGAAGGCCAGGCTAAAAGCAGGAAAGGCTGGGCCTGGACTCCATGCTGGGTATCCAGGACAAGGTCCAAGATCTCCCACACATGTCCAGGAGGACATGGGTGAAACACGAGCTGTGTAGAGAATCGCAGCTCTTGGCTGGACTGAGCAGGAGCTACTGCTGCTAACTTGGGTTGCTTAATGGAATTGGATACATGAGTGTGAGTACATGTGTGTGCTGGTATGTCTGTAGGTAGCTTTCAGTACTGTGCTCAGCCACCAAACCCAAAATGAAGCCCCCAGCCACCCTGGAGAGTTTTTTTTTTTTTTTTTTTTTGAGACAGAGCCTCAAGCTGTCGCCCTGGGTAGAGTGTTGTGGCATCACAGCTCACAGCAACCTCCAACTCCTGGGCTCAAGCGAGTCTCCTGCCTCAGCTTCCCAAGTAGCTGGGACCACAGGCACCCCCACAATGCCTGGCTATTTTTTTTGGTTGCAGCCATCATTGTTGTTTGGCAGGCCCGGGCTGGATTAAAACCCACCACCTTAGGTGTATGTGGCTGGCGCCTTAGCCACTTGAGCCACAGGCACCAAACCAGCCTGGAGAGTTTTAAACTGATTTTAGATAATTTGGCTCAGAAGAAATCTATGCACTTAATTTTTTTTCTGGTTTAAAAATAGTACGTGCTCATTGTGAAAAATAAATGTGGAAAATAGAGAAAACAGGGTATAAAAAAAGACAATGAAAAGTACCTGCGCTCCCACCCTGGAGATAATCACTGTTGACATTTTGGCAGTGTGAGATTACATGCACTTAACCATTCTCCATTCTTCCTTCTCACTGAATTTGCAATGAGCATTTTCTCACATCATTACTCTTTGTAAACCTTGTTGGAAGGCCTTGTACCTCTGTATTATGTACCGTTATTTATTTAACTTGCTTCCAGTTGTTGGACATTCAGACAGCTTCCAGTTTTTCTCTCTTGTGTAAAACCAGGAGCATACATCTTTGCCCATGAAGTGCCGAGAAGCTCTGCTTAAAGATACCATCAGAGCTCAAGGGAAGAGGGAATCCTGAAAAGGCTGCGTGTGGCTTGAATTGCAGAGGCTCAGCCGGGCGTACTTTGACTAGGAGAGTTCGACATGGGTAGGGGTCACCTGAGATCTGGCTGCCCCTGCCTCCTTTGCACAAGTGCCTTGCAGATGGCAGTGGTTCTCAAGATTCCTAATGCATGGCCCTTTAATACAGTTCCTGTGGGTCACAATCCACAGGTTAAGAACTGCTGCCCTATCATCTCTAGGGATCTTTCCATCCCATCTCAGGGGATCAGACAGGAGGGCAGGAGACTTGCCATATTCTCCTGGTGAGACAAAGGTGGGCAGGGGTGGATTTGACGCATTTGTCTGCTATGAGAGCTCTACCCACTACCCACCCCTATCCCCAAGTTTCCTGCAGAGCTCAGTTTATATGGATAGTGACAGGACAGTGCTCTGGCTGAGCCTGGAGCCTGGCTATTAGACCAGGAAGAGGGGCTGGAGCACCTTTGGGAGCCTGTCCTAGGCAGATGGGCAGCCCAGGGGCAATTAAAAAGCCAGAAGATTAATCCAGGCCTCCACCACCCAGCTAGAAATTAGGATCCTCAAAACAGCCCCCATGGGATTGTAATCCATGAGGGAACTCAGAGGAGCACATGAGGGGAATGTGCCCAAGGCATCAAGGCCAGGATGGAATCCCCAGTGATCAGACTGGAAATCCAAGGCTTCTCAGTAGGCTGACCAGGAGAGGATGGGAGGTCCCTGAGGCCACCTGACCTGCCTCTCCTCTCTCTCCACACCCCACCCCACCTGCCACCCATAATACAGGTGGGTCTGTGCCTTCCCAGGAGCATAGAGGTGCTCAGGGCCCCCTGAAGTGGGAGAGGCAGCCCATGAATGCCTCTGCACTTCCGCTGGGATGTGCAGGTCCACCTTAGATCCTGCAGGCGCTTCCCAAAGTCACAGTTTGCCTCAGGACAGACATTAGGCTAAGGTGCTAATTTCCAAGTCCCTCTAAGACCACTGCCCAAGGGAAGCCGCATCCTCCGCTATGAGCAGATACCATGTGCTAGACTAAGCATGGTCCCATTCAAACCTGGAATAAATCCTCCCTCATCCGCAAATCCCGCCCTGCCCCCAAGTAAGTCCTGTCAGTCTCCCTGAAGGCCCCCTGCCTTTTCTCCATCTCCACCACCATGGAGTCTGTTATCCTCAGCTTACCTGAAGCCATAGCAAAAGCCCCCCATGAGATCATAGTTAGCTCAGCCCTCTCCACTCCATTCCCCACATACAGTTGTGGGGAAGGCTTCAGGACCCAAATCTTATCCTACCACCCCCACTTAGACGCCTGCAGTCCCCTTAGGCCTAACAGGGCTGCCTAATCTGGCCCCCAGCTCCCTGTGCCCCCAGCCTGTACCTGGGCACTCAGGCCTTCACTTACATTCTCCCCTTTGCATGAAACGTGTTTCCACGCCCTTCACCTTGTTGACTTGACTCTCCCTTTACATGTCAGCTCAGCGTCTGTGCGCCAGTCTGTCCGTGGCACGTTCTCACTCCCACCTGCTGTACTTCTCCCTCAGGACAGGGACAGGATTTTACAGCTGTCTTCTCCACCAGACTGGAAGCTCCATAATGACAAAATGTGCGTCCTCTCCCTTCCCCACCCCTCGCCGTTCTCACCACCATGTCCCAGGCATCTGGGAGGGTGCCTGGCACACAGCCGACATTGCATAAGTGTGTGCTGAATGGGTAAGCACGCCATCTCTACCCGGTAAGTGCGACGGCTGTCCGCAGTCCACAGGCAAAGGAGCAGAGGCCCTGAAAAGTGACATAGCCAGCTCCAGGTCCTACAGCTGGTGAATGGCAAAGGCAGAGTATGAGATGAGGGGGGACTACAGAGCCTGTGCTCTCCAACCCTTCTGGTCCTGTACCTGGTGCCCAGGCATCAGTGCCCTATGTCTTGCTCTTCCGACAGGCTCTCTGAGGACTGCTCGGCTGGCCCAGGCTCCTCTCCCCAGCAGCTGCCCCCAGAACCATGGAGAGTCTGAGTGAACTTCAGAATCCACTGCTGCCCAGGAGCCCTGCCCACCTCCATGGCCCCTGTCCCTACCCAGAGACCCCACCCAGCTGGTCCTGCCGGGAGAAGCTCTACTCCTACCTCCTGGGTAGCACTGGCCATACTCGAGCCCACCAGCTCCTGGACCCGGGGTCCCTGCAGCTGGCCGTGGAGGCCTGGTACCGGCCCAGCTGCCTCCTGGGGAGGGACAAGGTGAAGGAGCCCAGGGCAGATAGCTGTGAGACCAGCTTCACAGAGGGCAGGGAGCCCCAGGCAGGGCCCACAGAGCGGCCCATAGGACCCAGCCAAGCTGAAGAGGATGTCACCATCCATACTGTGTCCTATGGAGTTCAAGAGGAGCTGCAGGGCCAAGAGGATGACCAGGAGGAGGATGAGGTGAGCACATATGTTTAAAATGCAGATTCCCAGGGCCCCTCTACCAGATGTTGAGATTTAATAGGCCTGGATTGGGACCCAGGAATCTGTATGCTACCATGTACAGTCACCATGTCTGTGGGTTCAGAAACACTAGCTTGAACTGACTATTTAATAGCATTTATTATTCTTGTTTTCTTAATTATATAAGTAATTCAAACTCAATACAGAAAACCACTCAAAGATAACATTACTATTTTGGTAGATAATTGTCTAAGTCTCTTCATTCACATGTTTTTTTCCTCACTCCAGTCCCCAAAAGAGATCTTGCTATTCATAGTTTTTGTTTTTTTGTTTTTTTTGTTTTTTTGAGACAGAGCCTCACGCTGTGGCCCTGGGTAGAGTACTGTGGCATCACAGCTCACAGCAACCTCCAACTCCTAGGCTTAAGCGATTCTCTTGCTTCAGCTTCCCAAGTAGCTGGGACTACAGGCGCCCTCCATAATGCCCAGCTATTTTTTGGTTGTAGTTGTCATTGTTGTTTGGCAGGCCTGGGCTGAATTGGAACCTGCCAGCTCTGGTGTATGTGGCTGACGCCTTAGCCACCTGAGCCACAGGCACTGAGCCTATTCATAGTTTTATAACCTGATTTTTTCTCTCTCACAACATATTTCAGTATTGCTCCAAGTAATTTAATATTTTTCTACAAGGTGATTTTTAATGGTTACATGGTCTTCCATTGTAAGTTCTTCCATCATTTATTAATTCAATCTCCTGGTCATAGACATTGAGAGTGTCTTTTTTACAATTGCCATCTTTTGATGAGCAGCCCTGGACATAACTTGCATTCTTTCCTCGTGATAAATTACTAAAAGTGGAATCGTCGGGTCACTGTTAAGGCTTTTGATGAGAACACCCAGGCCAACCCACACTCCCACTAGCACCAGAACAGACTATCTATTGCTCCACATAATTGCCCACTGGGTGTTTCCTTTTTTAAAAAAACTCTTGCCAGTCTGAAGGGGCTGGGGTGAACCTGGGTCTGGTCACCACGCCCCACTGTTTTGCAGAGTAATGCAACTTCAACAGAGAGTGAAAGCGAAGACAACTTCCTCACGCTGCCTCCCAGGGACCACCTGGGTCTTACTCTCTTCTCCATGCTCTGCTGCTTCTGGCCACTGGGCATTGCTGCCTTCTACTTCTCCCAGGGGGTAAGAGCACCTGGGGCCCCAGGCTTCTTCCCTGGCCACCTCTCTGTGCTGAAAGGGTTGGCATCCTGTCTGAGGATGGGGTGAGGGCCTGGAGAGCTGGGCTGTTTTGCTGGGTGTGGGCAAGCTCTCACTCATCAGCACATCTCTCTCCCTAGACCAGCAAGGCCATCTCCAAGGGGGACTTCCGCCTGGCCAGCACCACCTCCCGCCGGGCCCTCTTCCTGGCTACACTCTCCATCGCTGTGGGGGCCGGTCTCTATGTAGCTGTGGTGGTGGCTCTGGCAGCTTACATGTCCCAGAATGGCCATGGCTAGTGGCCAGTAGGGCCTGGATCCTGCCTCCCCTGCCCAACTAAGGAAGCAGTGGGGCTTAGGGTTGCAGACCTGCCAGAGAGCCCAGGCCCCCAAACAGAATGCAAGAGAATAGCTTGCTGGGGGGAGGCCCCCAGTCTGCAGCCTGCAGAGCCCAGCCTCCACTTCTTGCCCACTGCCCCCAGCCCCAGAGCAGGACCAGGGGTACTGCTCTCTAACACAGGCTGCAGAGGGGGCACCGGAGATGGCAGGGTCTTGCTCAGCCTACCCTGCCCATTCCCTCAAGGGTCGCCTGTCCTATAGGTAGCCCACCACCAATTCCGCCAACCTCCCCCCAGAGAACAAGCAGGAGGATACAGGGAGGAAAAGGGGGACAAGAGACCAGACCTAGTCCTTCAGGGGTCTTCATCTGGGGCAGCCTGAGCTTCCCCTAACTCTGCTCTCTGGCCCATCACACCCAGACCCCAGCCAGCCAGGAAGGAAATACGTGGAGGCTCAGGAGCCCTTGCTCTTTCTGAGTCTGGGGGATGCTCATCTCCCCTGTGGGCTTATAAGACATCATAGCATCTATGTAGAGGAGTCCCAGCGTGAGCTTCTCTGTCCAGGAGCAAAAGGTAAATGTGATCACAGAGAGACTGGAGGGCCCTGAAATATTGCTGAGCCACAAGGGTCTCCCCTCTCTGCCCTTGTTCCTCGCTCCCATCATCCATTTCTGGGCTCTGCCTGGGGGCCTGAGCCAGTGCCATCCCAGGTAGAGGGAAAGAAAGTGCCACCAGCCCACCAGCCACTGAGTCAGGGCTCAAAGCCCTGTAGGAAATGCAGTGGGGAGAGCTGCTGGGAAGCAGTGAATGCAGATGAGGCAGGGACTCAGGGCAGGCGTAGCCTGCTGAGTAGCCAGCAGTCCTCAGGAAGGCTTCCTCAAGGAGGTGTCCCTTGAGCAAGGCCTAGAAGGATGAGCAGAATTCAAAAAGGGATTTGTTTTCACACAACTCCAGCATTTGTAGGCAGGGGTGCGGCAGTTGCCTTCCAAGGGGGGTTTCCAAGGTGTTTGGGATTCTGCCTGGAGTGTCTGGGCTGGAGCCAAGCTGGAGCCAAACTGCAGCCATTCCTGAGGGTTGTACCAACTCGAGGAAAGTCACTGTCTCTCAAAGACCAGTGAGGTTTTCCCACTTCTGAATGAAGGGAAATTGGTGACGGATACCTTTGGGGCATCATCACTAAAAACCCACTTAGGGCTGCTCAGCCATTAAGCAACATCCAGAATTTTAGAGGTATCCAGCAGGCAGAGAGCAGCATGTTAGGAGGGCAGGCCTGTGTGGGTCCAAGCTACAGGACCCTGTTGTGCATGATTTTGGTACCTGGACATTCCCATACCCCATCCAGAGCCTATGGCTTTGCTCACCATAGGCCATACCTTGTCCCACTATTCTCCCCCACCTTTCACTCCCTGCATCATCAGCAGTTTTAAGATCCCACTGTTGTATTTATATATCCTTGTAATAAACATTTCCATAACACCTGGTGCCCTCTTGTTGTCCTCACCTGCATCCCATCTTCCCCAAGACTGACCTCCCAGCAGCCTCTGGAAAGGATAAGTGCATGTGTTGGCCTTATGAGGTAGCATGGCCAGCGTGTTTACACTGTCCCAGGATTTCTAAGCTTGGAGTAGCCTGAATGTAGAGTGATAGCAGACATTTGACTCTGTGCAAGACCCATGCCTGAAGAAAAATCCCTTCTAGGCTCAAGAGCCTTGGAGGTCAGGGACAAGAAGTGTGGGCCATAGTGAAAGGCTCCATGGAGTGGCCCCAGAGTATGAAAACCAAGGAGCCCCACTCTCCAGCTTCCCATTCTTAAATCCCCCACATCTTCCATCCGAGGAGCTGTTCCTGGGCTATGTAGAGGGGAAGCCATCTTTGCCTGCCTCAGTCCCCAGCCTCAGCACCAGATCTCCAAGATCCTCTTGGTCATGTCCCCCAGGATCCTGCCTGTGCTGTCAGAAAGTCTGGACTGCCTCTAGGTCACTGTGCATGGAAGGCCCTGGGAGGTGGGTTTTGCACATCCCGCACCCATCCAAGACCAAATTGTCATATGTGCACCATATGAGACAATTATGCACATACGCACACATGCATGCTGCATAGGTGCCCCAGAGACTGAGATTAGTGTGCAGGATTTATATTAGGGGCTGCTCTCAGGATAACATTTGTGCAAGGCAGGAGGAGACAGATCTGGGCAGAGGGAGGGGTCAGGCTGTGATGCAATCTGAATGAGTCTGAGCTAACCTATTATAGAGCAAAGACGTCCCTCAGAGTTGGTACAAGTTGGGGCAAAAAGCCAGGCCTTTCTACCCACTCGTAGATCAGTCATTGGATATGGACCATGCAGAACACTGTGTGACCCCACACAAGGCAACCCCCACAGGGAGCCCCAAAGGCTGTTTGTAGCCAGCACCTCAGCAGCAGAGGACTGTCTGTTCACCCAGAAAGGGCTCTATGTGGCACATTACTATACCCACCACAACCTCCTGCTGAGTGGGCCAGCTGGTGCCCCCTGCATTCACCTCTGCGTGCTGAAGCCTGCTTCCTGGGCACCTGGTAACACTGGATAGCGAATGCAGCCTTCAGCCCTGACTGAGGGAGTGCGTGGATACATACCCTACATGTCTGGCCCTTGGATGGGAGAACACTGGTTCCCAGGGCTCCCCAGTGGAACTGGGCTTCAGTGGCCACAGCAGCAATCCACTGACAGCAGCCCCTGATCTGTGGTCTCCTTCCCCACTCCCGTCCTGTGCTTCCTGGGATCACCTCCCAATAAACTACCTTCAATTGAATTCTTGTCTCCGTGTTGGCTTCTGGGGGAACTCAAACCCAGACACACAGTGCATGTTCACAGCACATGCACACACTTGCATGTACATGCACTTACACACAGGCACACAGAGGCACAGACACGCATACCTTCATGCATACTTGCACATGTCCACTGGCCCTGCCCACACATGCACAAAACCCACACGCACACACCACACTGACTTTTGTCCCTACACATGCAACACATGTACATGCCAGAGGAGAAGAAGCAGGCAGGGGTGGGGTGGAGTGGTTTGAGGGTGAGGAGTCTCAGGCCCTCCCCACTCAGGCTGGCTCAGGACCCCAGAAAGGGCAGGAGGCAACACACAACCTCAGTGCAGGCCCTCCTTCCCAGCCCTCTGAAATACCGTCCAGGGCCTTGAGAAAGAGAAAAAGAAGCCAAATGATTTCCTGTTTTCAACCCTGAGGCTGCCCCTCCCCTTTTCACATTCCTCCCCTCAGCTGCAGATGCAGGCTCTGCAGGAGAAACCAGAAATGAAGCCCCCAGGTCCCCTCCTGTAGTCCCCTAGGAGGGACCATCCTGTGGAACCCAGGCCAGTCCGGATCAGTCCCCTGCGCATGAGCATTGGTGGTGACACCCAACCTCCCCCTCCTTGGAGCTGTGACCTGCCTCTGGCATGCCTGGGGCACTTCAGGCCTCCTGCTTCCTGGCTCTGCCTGAGCCTGGTTGCCCGAGGCCCCTGGAGGCACAGGGGCTTCAGCTACTCCCCCCCTAGGCTGGCAGAAACAGGCTGGGGGCAGGGAGGGTCCCCTGGGTAAAGGTGCCCATGATGAGCTGCAGTGCCAGCACATCTGTGCAAATATTACCAATTATTTTCCTCACTATAAACACCCAGCAGGAAGGCAGAAAAGCAACCAACTCAAACTGTTCAAAATAGAAACTGAAATTGCTGCACAGGGAAGTTGGGGCAGCCGGTGAGGCAGGGGCCCTGCACCAGGAATCCGGGGCCTCCCTGGCCACAGCTCCCACTCCACCCGCCAGCTCAGCTTTCTGCCCCACAGGCCAGGCCAGGTGGAACAACATAGGAAAGGCTCCTGCCCAGGGGACCCAGGGGATGGACAGGGGCATCAGAGAGAGGGGACAACTAAGCCCTGGGCAGAGAGGGAAAATGGCTGAGGGTTGAGGGCGGCAGCTACAGAGGACGCAGGACCCTAGGAGGGACCCTGCAGGACCAGGTCATCTGCTGGACAAGTGGAGCTGTGGATACCGTGGGCAAAGGAGTGGAGAAGGAAGCCTTCCTTCACTATACCCCAGCCATGGGGAGAAAGGGATACCCTGAGCTAAGCGGAAACAGTGACCTGCCCCCACTCATTCTCCTAATGGTGGGAATGAGTAGAAACCTCCCCAGAGATCCAGCAGCATCTCTGTTCCCACTGCAGCCTCTCCCTCCCCATAAACAGGGTACATGAAGAGGAGGCTGGGGACAGAGTCACAGGGGTTGTCAAAACAGTGAAATACTTCCACACCAGTTATCTATAGGCCCTGCCCTAAGACTTCCAAGTGTTCCCTTTTCCTGCCTCCCTGACCCTTCCCCCAGCACCTCTAGACCTGCCCCCACCAGCTGGCACAGCAGCAGCCCCCCGTGCATCAGCCCATGCCCAGCTGCCCTGATTGCTAAGGACCTTGAGCATCCTGCTGCCCCTGCCCACAAAAACATGGTCTGTGTGAAGAGGGGGCTTTGGGCAAACCCACCACACCTGCATCCCTGCTGCCCTCCAGAGGCAATCTTGGTACATTTCTTGGGCTCAGCCAAGCCCAAATCCTACTCAGAGGGTGGGGTGAGGAGGTAGTGCTGGGCAGGGGTCAGTGCCAAAGGTGTGAATGCTGGAGTGTGGCAGCAGGAAGGAACCCAGGAGGTGATCTAGTTACAGTCCCTCATGCTACAGATGAGATAAATGAGGCCCAGAGAGGGAGATGAGTGGCCCGCTGTCACACAGCAAGTCAAGAGCCAAGCCCAAGCCTCACTTCCCAGGTCCTGGAGCTGCTGAACTAGGCTGGTGATGTCTGCCTGCCAGAGAGACAGAAAGGCCAGGGACAACTGATGCTGCCGCCCTGTGAATATTAACACACTTGCCTTCCCTCCCTGGCTGTTTCTGGCTTCAAAGGCTTCCCTGGCCAGCCCCTCCCTGGAGCTGATACCTTGGCCCTTCTATTTTTGGTGGCTTGGCAGGGGAGGGGCGGTAGGATGACAGCCTTGCTTTTGCCTGCCCCAAACTCATGAC